ATACTTAAAGTGCGTGGGTTTTGTGCTTAATGCGCGTGAGGTTGTGCTTAATGTGCGTGGGTTTTGTACTTAATGTGCGTGAGTTTGTGCTTAATGTGAGACATTTTAAAATTTTAAGTGTGTGAGTTTTGTGCTTAAAGTGCTTTGTTCTGTGCTTAATGTGCTTGTGTTTTGTACTTAAAGGTGAGTGATTTGTGTTCTTAAGGTGCTTTGTTTGTGGACTTAATGTGCGTGGTAATTTGTGTATTTTAGATGCGCCATGTTAATGATTAAGGTGCGTCCAACCGCACAACCGCACGGGAAGCCATTCCCGCACCTGAACCCTTCCCTACACACACACACACACACACACACACACACACATATATATATATATGTATGTGTATATATATATATATATATATATATATATATATATATACATATAATATGTATGTTTTTTTTAATTTTTACATATATATATATATATATATATATATATATATATATATATATATATACATATAATAAGTCTCCGGCCGAAGTCTTTTTTTTTTTTTTTTTTTTTTTTTACAATTTATTTTTTAAAAAATAATTAATTTGGAAGAATGACATGTTGACCTGTTGGAAACCTTTAAATTGGAAGAATTGTTTGAAATTGGTTAGTTTAGGGACCCAATTGTTGGTTTTTTAGGTTCAATAGCTTAATTGAATTATTGTGTGCAGTTCGATGGCCTATTTGACTCTTATTCCTATTTAAATATTTTTTTAAATAATAGTATATAATTTTTTTTCTAAATCATAGTTCTAGAATTTATATTATATTAAAAGTATAGTTGCTAATTTGAGTACGTAAAAATTATGGTATGATTAATATTATTAAAGTAACAATTTATAGATTTGCCAATAAATTACTAAATGTAATTATGGTAACATTTAATTAAAATCTAAATGAAATCAAACTTATTTCGTATTGGAAAATGCTTTCTTCCCTTTCTAAATTTCATTGTTGTTGTAATGTTGTTGTGTTGTTTGTGCCCGTTGGCCATTAGCTCTAACCGATGAACTTTGTAGGAAGAAAGAGATCGACAAAAGTGAAAAAGGGGAATGATAAGGTGGTGAGATATAAAGCGAGTTTGTAGCCTAAGGGTTCACGCAGAAATCCGGAATCAAGTATACACTCCCAAGATGAATATCATTAAAAGTTCCGCTACATAATTGTCAGAATAATAAATTTAGATATGCAGCTTATTAAAGTCATGACCTAGAAATTATGGGTCACTAGACTCTAATGTTTATATCAAAATCCTTGATGGATTTATAATTCTCAAAAATGAAAGAAAGTAAATATCACAACACGTTTGTTGTTGAAGTACAATTGCTTTACTCAAACTTAAAATAGTGAAGCAATTGTTGAATATGTACCATTAGGTACTTATTAAGGGGCTTATTTTAAAATAAAGGAGATGGAAAATCAAGTATTACATCGACCTGTAGATCGAGCATTTCCTTAAAAGAAATTTTACATACTATTTAGTCTATGTCCAAATAATCTCCCGAAGTAGATAAATGAATATTTTAACCTAAAAAGATAATTCAGGGCTAGAAGTATGTTGCTTCAAAACATCATTTTTGAATACATTTTCTTTGAGACAGAAAATTCCCAAATTCACATCTTATTTTTGTAATTTGTAAAGAGTGATTTGGTGATTCTCCTAGAAAGAAAAGGAAATGATGTTAAATAATATCCATTAATATCCTTAGGGTATAAAATATGTCTTTCGAGAAGTCATTTGAATATTGGCATTATGTTAAATGTCATGACTTGGATTGATATATTATAAATCAATTTAAACTTTAAAGCATCTTAAAAGCCTAAAGGATAATACTTGTCCTTATAGATGTACTTTGTATATTTTCATCTCTTCATTACTCTACAATATTCTCGCTTTGTTATAGCGACTGTTAAGAGATACGATAAGGAATAGCAAGTCAATGCACAAATATTCATATTGATGCTTTTTTACATGAAGTCATCATACTTGGGACAAATAAAAACGTATATAGTTTTTCATGACATAAAATACACTAATCCACATGAACTCTAGAAGAGTGATAAAATATTTGTCCAGAAAATTTACTCCAGTGACAAGTTAGCAAATGTATACCTACAAAATATGCATAAGATTGATATGCGTAGGTAAAGAAAATTATTATATTTAGGGGGAGCAACAAAATATAATAGGGGAAATTGTAAAAAATGCCCCTCTATAATATGTCAATTATCAATGTCACCCCTGAATTATGAGTGGTGTAAATGTTGCCCCTCAATTATCAAAATGGTGCTCATATAGCCCCTCCCGTAATGAACCTGTGGTTCCCCACCGTTGTTCATCCCTGGTACTTCAAATCGAGGGAGGGAAAAAACAACTAAATTACATATTTACTCCGACTTAACGGTGTCCTACACTAACGGAGAACCACATGTCCGTTATGGGAGGGGCTATATGTGCACCGTTTTGATAATTGAGGGGCAACATTTACACCACTCATAATTCAGGGGTGATATTGATAATTGGCATATTATAGAGGGGCATTTTTTACAATTTTCTCTATAAACTATAAATAATTTTTATTGGTCCAGATGATCATGAGAAAATATGATAAATTCTATTGACAAACCTGAAGATTGTGACACATCCCTTGATAACTTCTAATGACAATCCTGAAGATTGTACCATATCCCTTCTCTTTTGAAACAATGATTTTACTTTAAGCAATGTAGAATTTGAAGATTGTTATCTTCAGGGGGAGACGGGAAGTACATTCACCCGAGTCAATCTGTAGATTGGTCAATCCTGCAGACTGGGTCTTAAAAGGACTAATAGTTGCACTTTTTGCAGCGTATATATTCACTCGAGTCAATCCTATAGATTGGGTCTTAAAAGGACTAATAGTTGCACTTTTTGCAGCGTATATATTCGCTCGAGTCAATCCTGTAGATTGGGTCTTAAATTAAAAGGACTAATAATTATAATTTTTGCAGCATATACATACCATGTACTCTTTTCCTCATTAGTTTTTCCGAATGGGTTTTTCAAGTCTGGTTTTTAACGAGGTATGAGTATGATATATTAATGGGGGAGTTGTATATAAATACTTAAATAGACAAACCCCAAAATCCTGAAGATTATGCCTTGAAGGCAAATACTTAAATATACAAATCTCAAAATCCTGAAGATTATGACTTGAAGGCAAATACTTAAATAGACAAACCCCAAATTCCTGAAGATTATGCCTTGAAGGTTTATGGTTGTACTCTTTTTCCCTTAACTAAGTTTTTCCCACGAGGTTTTCTTAAGTTAATTAAGGTTTTTAACGAGGCAATCGGTACAATATATGAGTTTACGAATATCATGTACTCTTTTCTTCAACTAGGTTTTTCCCACGTGGTTTTCCTAGTGAAGTTTTTAACGAGGCATGAATATATTTAAATATAGTATCCATATACCTTGTACTCTTTTCTTGTATAGGTTTTTCCCACAGGGTTTTCCTAGCAAGTTTTTAACGAGGCAAGATCATGGACAAATAATGTCCAAGGGGGAGTGTTGTAAATATTAATGGTGGCCATTATTTTGTAACGTTTGTAACAGACATATTAATGTCTCATTATGTATGCCATTATTATTCGGTATTATATACACTGCTGGAAATTATGAAATTTCCAACCACCTGAAATTGATCTTAAATCAAGTCGAAAGCAAAAAGTGGTCGGAAATAGCAACAAAGATTTTTCCGGATACCAAAAGTGGTCGGAACAAGGCTTTCGACTTGATTTAAGATCACTTTCAGGTGGTCGGAAATTCCATAATTTCCAGCAGTGATATGTGTGTAATCCATTTGTAAGAGGATGCTGTTGAAATGAAATCATGTCACTCCCTTCTTCTCTATCCATTACTTTTATTGTTGATTCAATCCTGAAACTCACCGGTTAGGAGCTAAAGGCCAACGGGCACAAACAACAACATTACAACAATTGCAAATATTTTCTCTCGTGATATGACATTTATTCATTGGGTGCCATGAATTGGTTGACCGTATCACTAATTCAAAATAAAATATAGTTATCAATTAGATGTTGTCACATCACGAGAGATGAATTGGAGGGAAAAATATTAATGATCTCTAACATTACTCTTTCTTATATTACTCCAAGATATAATGTCTATATACATTATTAATTACCATTGAAGAATATAAGAAAAGATATTCTGTATGCATGTACATGGTAATAATAATGGCAAAAGATAACAGAAGTTATAACGGTAGGGATATTTTGTTCCAAAAAATGTATATTACAACTCTTATAGTATAATGCATATATAAAAAAAAAATTAATAGAAAAAACGGACATAAATCATGAATATAACTTAGATGGAGACTTATCATATTTTTAGATTATATATATTGGAAAATATTTTGTTCCCCTAAAAATTTTCCCCTCCTGAAATCCATCCTGACATTACTAATAATAATTGGGTGTCAGGAATTGGACCTCACTAACTTGTTATCAAAAACTAAATCATCCAATGAAAAATATCATGTCAAAGTTCATGTTAAATTTTATATTGTATTTAATTCTTTTTTTTTATTTATAACAAATGCTCATTCTAACAAAGTTTAGAGTAAATGAGCAATATTCAAATTTACAGTCCAAATTCTAAATTATTTAGAGTCTAAATTCTTCCCAAAAATTTAGTGTATTTAATTCCTGTATAAAATTTGATTATTGCTCATTTACTCTAAACTTTCCTGTATTTTAAACTAAATTTGGAGGGGTTAGGACCACTCACTTAATACATTATTGCTCATGATAAGACTTGAAACACTAATGCTAATATCAAATGACCTACATAGTATTTTCTTAAACACAGGATATGATTGTATACAAATACCATTATTTAAAGGGGAAACCACATTCCTAGCTGTTTCCGAAAACAAACAGCTAACATTAGTGGTTTTGAGGTTCTTACTTATGTATTAATCTGGCTTATAAAACCCCCATTTCCATGTTGAATAATTGGTGTGAACAACCAACCACCTAAACCTTCTTCAACAATTCTACCCTACTAAGTACTATCATCCCCCAACACTTATCCGACCCCAGTAAATCATCTTTCCTCTTTCAGTGGTTTCTTCATTTAACTTTGCTATATATATCTACTGTTTATATATATATATGTGTGTGTAAAAGTCTGCAGATAAAGATCTGAACTTTTTATCTTCCAGTTTGGTACTTGCTTGCATGCTGCAGAAAACCCCCCAGAAATAGTGTGGAGAAGGATGGGGAGGGGCAAGGTTGTAATTAGGAGGATCGACAATTCGACGAACAGGCAAGTCACTTTCTCGAAGAGGAGAAATGGGTTGTTGAAGAAGGCGAAGGAGCTGGGGATTCTGTGCGATGCAGAAGTGGGATTGATGATCTTCTCCAGCACAGGGAAGCTCCATGAATTTGCAAGCACCAGGTCTTTTACTTTTCTTAATTGTTTCATTAATTAATTAATGGCCTCATATATTTTATTATATGTACTGTTTAATAATTTGTTCTGTCTTTGTTCTTCGCTGGTTTCGAAACCCCATATGTTTCTTTTGTGCAAATAATTTCCCTTTTCTTTCTTTCTTGTCCTATATATTACATCTACTAACTACATACTTAAAACTCGGTTAAACTAGTTTACGTATAGTTTATCAACTAAAAGATTTTATACAAGAATATTATAATGTCAGATATAAATGATAAAACGTCAAATTTGAAAATGCTGATGTATATAACATGATGTCATAATATTTCGTTTATGTATGTGGTAAATACTGGATGGAATAGGTTTCTAATACATATCAGAGTAAGAGAATCAGACCAGCTAAACACAAGCTAGCTAGTAACAACATATAATGTTAGGGTTAAACTAGTTTACGTGTAGTTTATCAACTAAAAGATTTTATACAAGAATATTATAATGTCAGATATAAATGACAAAACATCTCACTTGAAAATGCTGATGTATATAACATGATGTCATAACATATTCCGTTTATGTATGTGGTACTACGGGATGAAATGGTTTGTAATACATATCAGAGCAAGAGAATTAAACCAGCTAAACACAAGCTAGCCAGTAACAACATATAGTGTTAGGGTTAAAATAGTTTGCGTGCAGTTTATCAACTAAAAGATTTTAGACAAAAATATTATAAAGTCATATATAAATGACAAACATCTAACTTAGAAATGCTGATGTATATAACATGATGTCATAATATTCCGTTTATGTATGTGGTAGTATGGGATGAAATTGGTTTGTAATACATATCAGAGCAAGAGAATTAAACCAGCTAAACACAAATTAAACTAGCTAGTAACAACATATAATGTTAGGGTTAAAATAGTTTACGTGTAGTTTATCAACTAAAAGGTTTTTGTACTAAACTACATACTATAATCAAATACAAAATTCACACCACTTGTCTTGTAAATGCTGATATATATTACATGATGTAATATTTCGTTTCTGTTAATAATAGTTGAAATTGGTCGGTTTGTAATATATATCAGAGTAAGAGAATTAAACTAGCTAAACCTACACAAGCTAATAAATAACAACACATATATGCCTTAATTAAAACATTGGAATATTTTGAGATTATATTAAGTATGCTTTCTTGGATCTTTGAGTTTATAAAACAAGCTGCGCTTTTTACTCATCAGCACATAGAATGTGGTGTTGCATGCAACACTATGGGAGAAAATAAAATAAAATAATTAAAGCTACAGCTACTCATCCCAAACCTTTTCCTTTGGTGATTAAATTAATTAGACAAACCTTAATTAACTAATGAAAATGAATTTCATAATTATCCATATATAAATTGTTGATTAATATATCATAAATTTAAAAGCAAGCTATATAAATTAAATATTAGGAAAATTAAAGTGTCTTTCTCCAATAAATCATATATGTACTATATTAAAGATGAACTGTACTTTATGTATCTTAAGTCCATATATAAACCTCAAGTGGGCAAACCCTAGCTAGGTTTCTAGCAATGCCTTACAACATTATTTATATTTGTATTTGTCTAGTGTATATGCATACATTTTGATCTCATAAGTTCACAAATACAACTTTCTTGCTATGTTGCATGATAATAAGCCATAATTAACAAGACTAAAACTCTACATATAATGACACAGCATTTGACTTTCATCTGTACTTTTAATAAAAGTCGAACCCATAGTCTTTTTGTAATGGACTACTTCATCAACTAATACACTTAAAATTTTATCCATCATGTATAGAGACTTAGCTTGATTGTATTAGATTGACAAAAATGTAAACTAATGCATAAGGTAATTTAGTTGAAGTTGCTCCAACCCACTATACTTGTGTCATATTGAACTTCATTATCATGAAAGATTCAAATATAAATTAGTTATAACATTAAACTAAAGCTAGCCTCTTTTTTTTTTTTTTTTAAACAATGAACATTAATAATATTATGAGAATTACATATGCTTTTTGTGCTTCCCTTTTAATCTAATTTCATTAATTAGCAGCATGAGATCAGTAATTGAACGCTACAACAAGACACAAGATGAAAGCCTTCAATCCCCTCAGAATCCAGCATCAGAACTCAAGGTAAATATCTCCCAGGCACACCATATTTTTATACTAATTTGAATATTGTGACAAGAATTTTCCTCAAATATTTGATAGTCGTAGCTCGATTTTAATTAAATAATTAGAGGTCAATATTGTGACTACTAGATACAAGAGAATCACGGTACCAAAAGAGTTAGCTAGTACGTTGAAGGATTATATTGACCCGTTGGTACGACTCAAATAACTCGATAATATAATGATAAATAATAAGAGATAAAGACAAAGGTAATGGAATGGAAAATGTAGTGAATGGCTAGTCACGGAGACAAAGTTTGTATTAATGAGATGTGTCAAGCTATTACAAGAGAATGGAATGATGTCTTAACTAGACAAAGATGAGTGTTTTTATACTAATCAACTCCTAACCGTCTCGCGAGAAAGGGGCGGGAGATTAAAATAACCGCAATGGGCCGCACCTCGCACCGCACGCATTGCCCCAGCCGAAGACCAAGCCCCCGGCAGAGCGTGGGCTTGACCTAGGTGGCTGAGAACTGGACTCGGCCTGAGCAGCCGAGCGCTGGGCTCAACCCAGGCAGCGAGCACTGGCCTCAGACGAGACTAGGCTAGGCCACGCCTGGGTGGGTCGGGCTCGGCTCCGGAGCCCCACAGCTGGTTGGGTCCGGTTTCCTTTGGGTACGGTTGATTCGTATCGAGTCCATTTATAATATATTCATCATACATCAGAAGTAGGGTAGGGTGTAGAATAGGTGGAGGAATTGTTAACTAAATCAACTAAAAGAGATGAAATCAAGTGCCTCAAGCATAGCTCAGTGGTGAAAGTATGAGTGATTGTGGTGGCTCGCAAATGTCCGGATTTGAATCCTACAAGGGGTAAAATCTTGAGAAATAAACAAGCACTTATATCACTGCGCTACTGAGGCACTTGAAATCAAGTTGGAGCGGCCTTCTCGATTATGGACTAATTTACCTAGGTCACAAGGTGAACTTTGCGCCTTTGCCGTATATGAAATCAAGTTAAGCTATTTGAATTTGAAGTAGAATAATTCCCGTTGAGCCAAGCTCAAACTTCAGTGTTTTTTTAATCGAGCTAAATTTTGAGTTTTGAATATATACTCGAAGTAATTATTATATATGGGGTAACAAAAAAGATAATTTGGCAAACTTAGCCGGATATATGTGCTGAGTTAAGAGGAACGAACTATTTTTTAATGGAATTATATGCAAGAACATGCAATGAGTCTCAATTTCTGAAGCATAGCATTCAGCAATGGCGTTTGTTCATCAAAGCTCAATAGAATCCATGCTAGCTAGCAAGCTAGTTAGCTGGTGCATTTAGAGCTGCAAAGATTATTAATTAATCTCTTACTTGATCGATCACCACGCCATGGCTGCATATATAGTTCCATTGAAAGATAGTTCGTCTGTCTTGGCCGAGCACACAAAAATGGAGGAACACTTTTGATGGAATTAATTGACCCTGATCCAAATCAATAATTCTGGATAGAAAATAAGAACAAATACTTGGACTTGAACAATCATATATAGTTCCATTGAAAGATAATTCTGGAGCCCTATATACTTGGACTTCTTTCTTTTGGGCCGGCCTTGATATATCTACCATATATATCAACACTTTAATTAGTTTCATCAGTTTGTATTAATGTTGAAAGTTTTCAAGTTTTGGATGCACGCTGAGCAGTTTAATATATGATATGATATGATGTTGCTGCTAGTTTTGGCAAACAGAAGCAGCAATTCTGAGGCAACAATTACACAACATGCAAGAAGATCATCGGTAATATAAATAATATTATATTATATACCACAAAATTAAATCTTACAGTTTATTCAATTCATCAACTGTACTGAACTCTACTCATCATCATCATCATATATATATACTGCAACAAAATTAAACCAGGAAATTAATGGGAGAACTGTATGGGTTGAGTGTTAAAGAGCTGCAGAATCTTGAAAACCAACTGGAAATGAGTTTGAGAGGCATCAGAATGAAGAAGGTCAGTAACTAACCAATTCATTCTCATCTGATCTGCTAATATATGGATCATAGTCTATCAAGAGTTTATTAATTTAACCTCTGCACTCTGCAGGAACAAATACTAATTGATCAGATTCAAGAACTAACCAACAAGGTACTTTAATTTCTTAAACAATGGAAACCTATATATATGTAAGTGTGTTGATCCGAGGATGTTTTTTTCTGTTAAATCCACGCAGGGGAGTTTCGTGCACCAGGAAAACTTGGAACTCTTTAAGAAGGTAAACATTATTCAACAACAAGATATACGGAATTCTAAGGGAATGAGAACAGTCTATTGGCTTTTCGGTTTGAGCTGGTCACCTCAGTATAGACCTTCTTAATTAGTTTGAGCCGGTTAGGGAGTAACCGTGACATAGGCTTCGTTTGAGCTAGTCGACTAGGTGCAACTTAGACTGGTATACCTCTTCAGTATAGGTCTCCTTGGTTGGATAATCTAACCTGGATTATCACCTTGTGATCTTTTGTCGAGTAAGTGAGATTTAGTTGAAACTTCAAGCATTAAATCTTAGCTTGCCAGAGATCTTCGTCAGTGACTAAAAACTAATGGTGGTAAGAAGCTAAATAAGCTTAATTTTTGGTTCCAGGTATATGGCACAAGGGACCCAAATACAGTGAATGGGGACACCATTTCTCCATATGACTTCACCATTAGTGAAGAATCCCACGCCCACATACATCTCCAGCTAAGCCAACCCCAACCTCAAAACTTCAGCGATCGAGCCACAGCATTAGACTCAACGTAAGCCTACCTCGTCTCAACTAAATTTATTATTTACATATATTATGCTTCACAAGTTTCCTAATAAACCGATTACAACTCCGGTTTTCTCCTTACAAAACAAATCCAAAAAGAAGATAAGATGCTGTTTGGCGAAGACCAGTGAACGGCCAAAGTCTAACACCTGTTAGCCAAGGATTGTTGGGCAGAGGCCTGAAGGGCCAAGTCCAGCATCATGTCTCTCGAAAATGTAGCGGTATAAAGAAATAAAGTTACACATTCGCTAAGAGTGTGCAGATTGTTGGGCCGAGACTTGAAGGGTTAAGTCTAATAGCACCCTAACTATAGTTTTTGACGTAATGATAAGCGTTTGATATATCCTAACAAATGAGAGTCTAGCACCCTAACTATAGCTTTTGATGTAATGATAAGCGTTTGATATATCATAACAGATGGGTGCATGCATGTTGCAGGTAAATGATGAGAGTGCAGCATGCATGAGGTACAACTACTCTGCAGCAACGTGAAATGTGATTCTTAACACGCATTGGATGGGTGGCAGGGGTGTCTGTAGACTGTAATTTGTTTGCTATTAATTACACGCAAAATCATAGTATGATTTTGTATATGATAAGGTTTAAGGTAGCTTAGGTTGTCACAATTACGCTATCTAGGATGCATATATGCTCAGGCAGGTGGGCGATGCCCTGTGCAGAACTGAATTGGAGCCAGCAGGAACTTACAATAGCTTGTTTAATTTAATTAGCTAGAATTATCTCCTTCAATTAATTTAACCAATATTTTAGTATTTGCAAAATAGTGTTTGTAAACTTTTGAGATATAATTCTAAAAATGTAACCATAATTTACTGAGTTTATGGTTAAAATAAATGTTAAGTTCAAATGATATTAAATGCATTATATTATTACTAACAAATAAATGAGCTGAAATATCTAAACTTATAAAATTAATAATAGATCATTGGGGTATTAGGAGAATGACTTATCAGCTAAATAAAGTCTAGTTTGTTTGACTAATTTTACTTGTACTGTTTGACTGGTCAAACAACTAATTTGAGTATTTGGTAATAGATTTTTGGCTTAGCTTATTGATGTCAAATGTTAATAAGCTGAAAATGAAAAAGTAACTTATTGCATTTTCATTCTAAAGTTTAATATATTAATTTACCTTTAATAATTGTTAATAATAATTCGGTATGTAACAATTAACCCAATCATATATAAGAATTCACATGCACGGCTGGTGATAGTGCACAAATGCACATGATAATAAGAATTCACACCTGAACAGTTTTCTCTCTCTCTCTCTCTCTCTCTCTCTATATATATATATATATATATATATATATATATATATATATATATATATTATTGTGTTAATTGTTATATATCGAATTATTATGAACAACTTATGTCTATTCTATTTGTATTTAAAATTATGATTTTAATATTTAATTATTATTAACTATGAAGTATTTTTTTTTAATTATAACATATTAATAATAAAAGACAAATAATATTTAAAAATAATTAATAATAACACAACGATACCTATTAAAACTATATTTATCCATACAATTTTCTTCCATTTTTAAAATTGAACTATGCTGTACATTCTTATTATTTTAATTTACTCTCATAATTTAATAATAATATAATAATATTTAAATTTAGTACTATTTTTTTAAAAAGGTACAAATGGCAAGAAAAGGACACAAAGGGCCACATTAACCCTACTCGGGGAGTAGCTGGCTACGTATTACTGAAGAATTGATTTAACCAGCTCATCAAATTAATTATTTGTACAAAAAATATTCGGTAAATTCATTACTTTGCCTGTAAATATGACCGCACTAAAATTTACCCACATAATATTTTCATAGTGCAGTTCACCTTTCTTTTACAGTTTATTAGTAGTTTACCTTTTTGTATAATTTACAAGTTATCAGTCAAAATATGATTTACTTGGTGCACATTATCAAATAATTATTGCAGATTTTCATCGTATAAAAAAATATCTATAAAAAAACAATAATAATTACATTTTTTCCTAAAAAAAAAAATACACATAACACAAAATGAGAATGAATAGTTTTGTGATTTATCCCAAAAAAGTTTATCTAAAAATTCCTATCAAATAATTAAAAATCTTTTTAAAATGTAAGTACTCTTCAGTCTTCAATGAGCTATTAACTTCCTGCTTACATATGCTTGATATTTTTTCTAAATAAAGTGGAGTAAATAACATTATTCATATAAAAAAAAAATCTCTATTTACTTTTTTGGAGCATAATTCTCTCTTTAAAAACACATAATCAAACGTACGGATAAACCAACATACCAAGATTCCAATGTAACTTGTTGGACATTTTTTTTGTGGAACGCTAACGTTATATATCCATCTATTAGATTAGATGGCAGATTAAAGTTTACCGTAATTTTATCCATCTATTAGGGGCAAGATTGGCATTATGCATACAAAACATCCTTCTCTTTTATGATACTTTAATCAAAAGACTACGTTCAAATTACTATGTAACCCTCTTCTATTGCCCCTCTAATATCACCAAAACACTTAAATACCTACAAGTTTACAAAGTTTATTATTTTATCTACTTTTTAATTAAAATATAATACTTTTTTATGAACAGTCAAAAATATTATATGTCTCATGATCTCACATAATACTTATTCAATTTATCTAAAGAAAATACTACTTTTACTGTAAGATATAATTTTATTCTCAACTTTTATTCCCTCCGCTATCAAAATGTTTATGTTGACAGATCAACAAGATGAAAAAAAACTTATCATTTTTTATTACATCAAAGTGTAAAATATAGAGTACATGTAGTAAAGCTCTTTATCTAGACAAAATCAACCATTTACGGATTTTATGAATTCATGAAATTGATTTGCTGTGGTACAAAACACATCAGTGCGCATCATTAAGCTTAAAAAAAAAAAAAAAAAAAAAAAAAAAAAAAAAAAAAAAAACCCCTAAAATTTGAGTGTGTCATTTATAGTAAACCAAGAAAAAAGAAAATGATTATGTTCAAAGTGGACAAATTCCTTGTGCGCACTGGCATTTGACCCTCTTTGCTGAATCATTAAGTTCCGTGATTTACATCCTCCCTGATATTCTGTCGGGCCAGAGTGTAAGTGCCCGTAGGGTTGGGGATTCAACCTTTTGGGAGAAGAAAAAAGGAAGAGGATTCATCTTTGTAAAGTTGTGAATATGAAACCAAAATTGAAGAATGCTTAATGGCTAATTAACAATAAGCTTTGAAATTGAGCAATAATGAAGCAATTCAATTGACATTGCAGTATGTATATATGTGCTTTAATTGAGGAATAGATCTTGGCCGGAGGTTTTCAAAGTAACGAGACACAAAAACAGACACTACTAATCTTTATTATACTTATAAAGCAAACTAATTATGTACATTCAATCGGAGATCCCGGCAAACGTGATGTCTCCGGGGAAACTCGTCGTCGCGGCGCCCCTCGTCGAAGTTCTGTGAGTAGCTAACGGCGTCGTACTGGAACGACGTCGTCATCGGCTTGGATCTACACATGATCTTGCCGTCGTTCACCAACTTCTTTATGATCTTCCCCCACGAGGAGGAGGAGGAGGAGGACGGTCTCCGGTACCGGCCGCCGCCGCCGTCGACGTGGCAGGCGTTTATCCGCGAGTACTCCTCGTGCACGGGGACGCACGACGGCGACATGCAGCTGTAGAAGCCGTGATATTGGCGGCGGCGCGTCGGATCGGGCCCCATATCCATAGTGTAGTGTATACGCGCTAAAGTTGTAAAATGTGAGAAGACGAAAAATGGTTTTGGGCCATGTGTTCTTATAATAGTGAAGTGAGTGAACGGAATCAAATACAAAGCTTAGTAACAGGCGGGGACGTTTATCCTTTCTCCCCTCGGTGGGCCCACACTTTCGGTGTCTTTCAGTCACGCTGTCACATTTTGTTTGATTACCATAATTTCCTTTTCTTTTTTAAATAAACATTATTATTAAGCTCTATATTATTTTTCATTTTTCTAAACGCATCATATACATATATTATTAGATTAAGCTCTTAGTGATTGCTATTACATTACTAGTTATAATCGATAGCAAAATTAAATTGTATCGTTTATTTCTTTATATTTGTTAAATAATCAATATTACCTGTCAAATGTTATTGTTGCAGGATGCTAAATTTGACCATTCAAGACTCTATCTAACAATTTAGCTCATTTTTTGCACTTCAAAAAATGGATGTGCAAAAGGCCTCATTTATGGAAGTCAAAATGTATTCTTTTTTAATAAATAAAGACATTTTGGAGAAAGAAATTTTTTTGTTCTTTTAAATGCCAATCGTACTCCAATCTGCTAATTTGGCGTTTTGACCATGGTTAAAACGTTAAACGTGATAGATTCATCATTATCCAAACATGGCCAATATAAAATTTTCTTATATTCTAAAAATGATATTTTAAGACCAATAATTTCAATTAAATTGTAATTTTGAAATTCAACATTTTATTAAAAGGGAATCAAGTTTTTTACACAATGAGAAGTAACATACTGTAAGAAAATGAGAATTGTAATTTGCAGCTTACTTCTAAAAGTTGGTATACGTTAGTTAGCATATATATATATATATATATATATATATATATATATATATATATGTATATATATATATATATATATATATATATATATATATTAATGTCGGATTAATATAGTATAGTACTATGTTAGTTGATTGATTTATAAGATTAACAAATGGTAATGATGAAGTGAACAAACCCATCATGAATTAAAATCATTTGTTGGATCTGATTCCCTCGATTTCAGTGATTTAATCGGCTATATAAATTATTCAAATTAATTAATAAAATAATTACAATACTTTTAATTTACGAAAAAATTCACCACTACCATTTAAATGTGTGTTTTAGGTGAAGTCAGTTACCACAAAAAACTTAGTAACTTAGTATATATCGTCCACAACTAATCAGCTTTAATTAAGAAGGTCTAACTCCCGTAAATAACTAAACTTGAAATTTTTGTCTTAAGTCAACTATTTGACCAACTTAATTAAAATTGTTCCAAATAACTACAATAACTAAAAACTATATTATATGCTACGCACTACTGTCCACTGCTACCAACTTTTCTTGCCTCCTTTAACTTGCTGCTTACTTTTTTTTTTTTTAATTTCTTTAAATTGAATTGCCATCAAACATGGTTTGGTGGGAA